AAACAAAGTGGTAGGGAGTTAACAATGGTGGTTGTATTACATATTGATATCTTCAAAGTGGCTTCTCATGAAAACAGATATAAACATGCAATACTGGTCAACCAAAGACTCATTGACAGTTTCTTTCAGCATAGAAATAGAAGACAGAAGAACAACCATAAAGCAAGTTTTAGATGAATTTTAATTTTAAAAATTTTTAACAAGTCTTCACCTCCTCATCTCTGAAATTATTTCATTATAATTGAATCATTAATGTTTGTGGGAGAAATCATCACATTGGAAAATCTCCCTCAATTCACCATTTCCTGAGAAAACGTTTTAGAGCTCTTTGTTGGTGGATCCAGGGTATGAGTTGTAATTTTCTTTATACACTGTCCAATGAGCAAATGTTTGAAGTAGATCAATCTGTGAACATTTGCCTTTGTTATGGGAGTTGTGGGACCCTGTGTTCTAGACTGTTCTTCCACAGAATTAACTTTAAGAAATGACTCCTCATGTGAGGACTCAAGAGTCTGCACAGGAATTTGCCTCCCCTACTCCACCCACTTTATAAGTTCTTCCTCTCCCCTGAATGGTTTCCAACATTCCTCTGCAGAGACACTAAAGTGAAAATGGGAAAATAGAGCATGTGGTCTCAGTAGTAGCAAGAGTTTTTTTGGTTCTGGGGACTAAATCCAGGGACCTGTTCCTCCTATGCAAGTGCTCTACCACTGAGCTACATCTCAGCCCTGTATTTTTTAAATGCTAATAATTTAGATTTTGAAAAGTATATTCTTATAAATACTTCAAAAGTCAAGTTTTAGCAGATTTTTAATGAGACAGAACGTAACACAATATTCTTGTTTGAAAAACAGAACAAGTCAGATCAACACAATGTCAGGAGGCCAACGAACTGTAAGATGAAGTTGCAAAGCAATCTCATTTCAGCATTTTAAGACATATCAAGCGAGAAAGCTGAAATGTTTTTAGTTTAAATGGGCTTCGTATCAGCTGGATCACATTTGAGGCTTAATGGCATACAGCTCTGAAGTGTACAACTGGATATGCTTAGTGGCTGTAGCTAAAAGGCAAAACATAAAGTCATCATCACTATCTCCTCACCAACAGCATGGCAGTATCATCACGGAGACACTCACTGTGTTATGTCCTTTTGCTCTTCTTCCATACGTATATTCCAAAGCTAAGGTTGGCTTTGCTGGCTCGTCCCTGTTCAAAAAAAGGCAGACAGTATTTCCATATTGGGTGGGATTAGTTTCTGATATGATCATCCTACTCCATTCATTTTTGCTTCCTCTTAAAAACTTTATTAGTAAATAAGTCACCTTAGGGCTGGGGATATAGCTCAGTGGCACAGTGCCTGCTTGGTAAGCACAAGGTCCTGAGTTCGATCCCCAGTACCAAAAAAATAAAAAAATAAAAAGTTACTTTAAGTAACAGCATTGAGGTAAAACATTATTTTAAATATGCATATGAGATGAGCCTTTTAAAAACTGTCTTAGTGAATCTAGCATGCTGGGAGGCTGAGGCAGAGGAGACCACAAATGTAGACTCAGTATGGGCAATTTAATGAGATCATGTTTTTTTAAAAAAATGTTTTTAAAGGCTGGGGATGCACTCAGTGTGAAGGCTCTGGGTTCAACCTTCCCACTACTGTAAAAAACAAAAACAAAGAAACAAAGAAGTCTTAGTGAATTTTAGTGGCAACTGCAGAGATCAACAACGACACCTGCCTGGCGGGGGAGGCCCTGCTCGGGTGAGTGGAGAAGGCAACGGGGCCGGCGCACCCACAGCTATGCTGGGTCCACAGCTTGGCCACGGAAGCACTGACATCAGGCTTATACTGCCTTCGCGTGGGGAATTCGAAACCTAATGAATGTCAGTCTATTGAGGACCTCAGTGGAAGACTTGAATGCCGTCCTCTGACAGAAATCACAGCTCAAATATGGGCCTCATCAGGCTAGTGAGCACTGTAAACAAATTATGCAAACAAGTCTTAAAATCCAACACATGATATGGAAAATATTACAATGATTTGATGAACAGTGATTATTTCTAGCTGATGGATTTGTAAACAATTTACTTTTTAAAAAGTAAAGTCTAGCAGCCTAACTAAGTAACTGGGCAGCTGCACATCCCAGGGTGAAAAGGACATGCCCTTCCTGCTCGAAGATGCTGTTCACTGTGTCAACCTAAGAAGTTTGTAAGGTTAGATCCGTGACTCAGCAGGGAGCCAGGGCCCTTACTTCGTATTTAACCTGAGCCTGTGCAAGAGGAGGGCGCGGAGATGGTGTGGGCATGGGCAGATAGCTGATATACAATGTAAGGAGAGAAAAGGGGCTTGCTTGCCCCTGCCCCTTTTTGCTTTTGCTGCTTTACGTCCTTGAAGTGTTGCCCCTGTGCCATGCCGCCCTGCCTTGGAGCCAGCTGAGTATAGGCTGAAACCTCCACAGACTGTGAGGTACATAAACCTTTCCTTCCTTAAATTTGGGCGTTCGGTATTTTGTCTCAGCAATGAAAGGAAAGTAACCAAGACAAGTGAGGACCTCAATGGAAGTCTTTAACAGAAATCACAGTGAGCACTATAAACAAATTATGCAAACAAGTCTTGTTTTTTTTTTTTTTTTTTTTTTTTTTTTTTTTGAATATTTTTTGTTATT